GGATTGTTTACAGAATACATCAGTACTTTCATAATTTTATCCTTCTTAGGGTCTGTAGACGAAAACACTGAAGAATAATCTGTTGAAAATTCTTTAGAGTAATTGGCTATATAATTAGTGTTGTCGATAGCTCCTGAATAAGGAATTATCCCATTACTGATCGGCCCGCTTTGCATACGGATTGTATATCTGTTCAAGTTTTGATAAATGCTTCCTTGGCTGCCTACTGCTGTTCCAAAATTATAATTGCCTCCAGCATTGAAGAAAACAGGCAGAGGATCCTTTCTTCCCCATTGGAAATGCAGGCCTCCACTTTTACTGATTTGAGGAATGAAGCTGTAAATATGGGCTGCACCACCTCCAGAAGCTTCTTCCGGGAACATCATTAAAGCTCCTAAGTCTCTGTCCATAAAAGTAGTCTTCAACGGAACTCCAATACTTTTCACAGGATTCACAAATGCTGAATTGGCAACATTTATAATGCCTCCGTTTGCTAAGGTTTCAGTTTCATAATCTAGTGATCCTACAAGTGTTTCAGGAGCCCAGATCTGCCAGCTCCAAATAATAGGATCTTGCATTTTGCCGTTTGCCCACTGGCCGGAGTTTCCTAAATGGAAAGCTACCACAGCATTACCGTGTTGATTTTCATTTAAAGTAACTCGAAGTTTAGCCGTTTCCTTAGTTCCATCGATTATTTCCATGTTCTGGATCAAACCTGTATTGGTAGTCCATACTACAGAGCTCGACTTGACACTTCCCTGCGGATATTCATCTGTTGTGCTTAAATGTAACTTATACATTGCATACGCTTTGCGCAACGGAATTTCTATAACGCGGTCTTTATCTGCCGGATACGCTGTTGTCACTGAGCTGTTAGTATATTCTACATAGCTGTTCGGATCTTTCGTCCAGTTTTTCAAAGTTGCTAATGGATATTCTTCATTTGGTGTGCTGATGAATTCCGTGTCAAAAGCAGTTGGCATATAAGCGTCATTCGGGTCTTTAATACATCTAATTCCGCTTGTTTCATGTGTGTTTCCATAATGTGAAACAGAGTCCATAGTATACCATCCAAAATTATTGGCAGTTTCTTTAACATTTCCTGGGTCTGAAACATAACCAAGTCCCCTCGGTCCATACCAGGGCCCGCCTCCGGATGCTCCCACTGAGAATGTAGATGAGCCCAATGCGCCGTCTGACGAACCGTCCTGATATACGATCTTAGGTGTAACCAATCCGGATGTTGTTACCCTATTAATTGTTACATAATTAGGATAATATTCATAGTTTCCATTAATAGAAATCAGCCCTAAGTTACGGCCAGAAACTCCTGTGAAATCGTAACCCAATCCAGGATATATCTTTATTCCTGGAAATCTAGTACTTGAAG